CTAATCTACGGCTGCTTTTCTAGGCTCTTCTTCTTCTTCTACCACCCGAAAAGCCGTCTATAAATCGACGATACGCTATCCAGGCACTATGTAGGGTATCTTATAGTATCTGCGGCTAGGGCACGCTAGCCCTAAACCACTTCGGCACCTAGAAGAGTAGACGTAGGGGGTTAAAATCAAGAGACTAATAACTATCGACTACGAGGCCTATAAGCTTATAAAGATAAAGCGGTATATTAGTAGGTACCCTCGTATCGCACCTATTTCTGTAGGGGAGTAGTAGGGAATTAATGTCACGGATTTTAACCGAACGTCCGACAGGGACTCACGGTGTATATTTTTCACCGACTATTATAGTGGTTTTACGGCCACCTACGTTATAAAGAGTAAGCTAGTAGTGGATATCCTCGTAATAATTAAAGACTTCGTCGCCTAGATGGACTATTAATTAGGCTATAAGGTACACGGTTTCGAATCTAATAATATACTAACTTAATCCTACGATATCACCTAATTCCTACGTGAAGAAGGTATCCTTTTAGAGGTCTCTGCTACCGATACTTAAGCGCAGAACAGGGGTGCCGAATATACTACTACCGTAGTTATTTTAAAGGGTCGTGCGATAAATATCCACGCTAAGTTACCGCCGTTTATATAGCCTAAGGTTAGTTCTATAGCTATATGCGTCTATAACCGCACGCCGCGAAGGTAGCAGAATAGCTAGTGTTGATATTACTAATAATATCCTTCGTACCTTTGTACTCGAACAAAGGATATCTTCCCCGTAAGCCTAGATAAAGGATTACATCTTAGACAAAGGATTACGTCTTAGATAAAGGATTATGTTATTATTACAATCTCGATTCCTTGATAAAGAAGGAAAAGAATAAAGGATATTAACCCGTCCCCTCGGTTCGGTTCTTCCTTCCTTTATTCTTCTTCTTTATCGCTTCTACACAATCCACACGCGCGCAGAAATCCTACTATTACAATCCCATTCTTACTATCTATTTTTCCACTGCTTTTTGTGACTTTCGTCCCTTCCGCTTATCCGCAATCTTCAAAAACTAGGATTAGAAAACGCCCTACGAGGTCCTCTTTAAAAGAAAGCCGATTTTGTTATACCTTCGAGCCTACGGCTATAAGGCGTACGCGATAATAAAGGACGCTTAAAAGGGCGCCAATACGCTGTTAAATTATATTACTCTCCGCGCCTATATCGGCTACCTTATTAGCTAGGATTCCACTAATATATTCCATATCTAGGTGCTAGGCCGTAGCCGTAACCCCGTTATTCGCACACGCGATATAAATTTCAATAAATATACCTTTTTTAACGGCGATATTAACGCCTTTAAGGATAACCTCCGTTAATTAACTGAGGAATAACTAGAAGATCTAATTAGTTAGATGAAGTAAGAGAGGGCTAGAGATTCACGGCCGTTTATAGACGTATAAGCTAAGGACCCCCCCTTTTATATACCTGCTTATTTTAAATTTTAACCTTTTACCGGGGCTAGTTCCCCCGGATCCTCTTCCTCGACGGCGTTACTACCGTTAAGGTTATAGTCCGTAATACCCGGCTATAAGGGGGTAGAGGAGGCTATCTTAAGCCTAGAAGAATAGGATTTAGGTTATAAACTGTATAATTTAGCTAGTATAACGCTTAATCCCCGTCTATAGTAGCCTATAAATCTATAGCTTCCTACTCTACTAAGAACCCCGTTATCGGTTATAGCACTAGTAATAGCCGTAATCTTAGGTAATCGTCGTGAAGTACCTATGGCTATAGTCTTCCTCGTGGATAGGGGAATACGATACCGCGATATTCCTGTAGCGACGGCTATAGGGCTCCTTGTAGATAAAGGAGCACGCCCTAACCGGTAACACGATAGCTGGAAAAGAGATTATTAGGTAGGAGTATTTAACGCTGGTCGTTACGCCCCGGATATATATATATTAAATAGGACTCCGCTAACTAAATTACGGTTAAAAAGGACTACGCCTATAGCGTTATAGCGATATTTAATAGTACCTAGCGAATCCACGGCCCCGGCGGTAGCCTCGGGAAGTATAACTCCGGTAGTAGCCTCGGAAAATATAATATCCACGGCTACTCCGGCGGTTACTCCGGCGGCCGTAAAGATCCACTATAAAGACCTCCCTCCTCCTCCGAAAAACCCTCGCGATATACCCTTATACCCTTACAGTTACTTATTCCGATAAGTATAAGAAGACTACCTATAGAGCTATAAGGAGATAGAATCGTGGATACGGGTATCGGCGTCCGTAGTAGATAGATATTAGGTTCTTAATTCGATATATGTAATAATATATAAGTTCAATAAGTATAGGTTTCTATATAAATATAAGGTAAGGCTTATAATACGAGGAGATTAGTAGTATTAACCCTCGCTTGAGGAGATATACGTAGTAACGCTAGCTGGACGGTTATTCCACGTGTTAATAGTTATCAACTCCCGTTTTAACCTTACGATATTATAATTCGATATTATAAACGTGTTTATACACGCGCCTCTTCCCCACAATACCTTTATATACCCGCCGCTAGGCTTTCTAGCCCCTAAGAGCCGTTTATATCTGAAAAAGGCGCTATATAGGCTTAAGGAGTCTCTATTACTATAGTAAAAGCACTTTTCGGTTATCCTTTTAGCGGACGGGTTTTAGATAGTGCCGTAAAAACAGTGTTATTTTCTGCGTCGCGGTTTAATCCTGTTTTTCTATGTTAACGATATTATTATTACTTATAAAGAATAATATAAGGTATAGATAGAGCAGGCTATTAATAAACTATAACGCCACTATAACCTATAAGGTGGCGATCCTCTATAGTGGTTTCTTAGTATTAAGGCTATTCGTAACCGTGCTGTTCGTAAAATCTAGCTAATATACCGCGACTACGCTACTAACTTAGAACGCCTATTAAAGCCGAATAGTAAGTATAGTAGTAACTATTACCTAACGCACCTAAGTAAGGTTATAGAGCTACTATCCTATTTAGGAACCTCGACTAATATTAAAAGCTATTAACAGAAGATAGGATCTATACTATACGTAGTATTAATATAGCAGCTAGATATCGCTTGTAAAGTATTAAGGTTATGCCGTTTTAACATTAATCCACGGCCTATACACTATAAGACTATCGATTATCTAATTCTCTATTTAATTAATAGCTAATCGTTTATATTAGAACTAGGGGGTAGCGATACTATTAAAATCTATACTAACGCCTTATTTACCGATAATACCCTTAATCGAAAGAGTAGTTAAGGGTATAGAATATGCTTATTTAGCGGTATAATCGCGTGGCGCGCTAATAAGCAGGATACGGTCACGACGTTAATAACGGAAGTAAAGCTTCTAGCGTTAGTATAAGGTGTAAAAGAAGGTATCTTTATATAACGCCTATTACTTAGTATAGGAGTGGAATTTAACGATCAGGAATTAAGGATTCTATATAATAATAACTAAATAATTCGATTAGTTAATTAAGAGATTAGTATATTAATAACGCACCTCCGCCACGTCGATATTCACGGCCACTAGTCATATTAAGTAAAGGAATAAGGGTAAATACTCGTAACGTACGTTACGAGCGCGGAAATAGTAGTAGACGGATTAACGAAGGCGTTATACGGCGAGAATTTTAAGATATTTAGGTCCTAGGTAGGAGTAATAGATATACGGGAACGGCTATAGTAAAAATAGCTAAAGGAAGTCCGGATAGAGTATTTAGAGAACCTAGAGGATATATTTAAGGGCGACTATAGCGAAGATATTATATAGGTTATATACCTATTATATCCGCCGGTTATGAATAGCTTTAATCGCCTAACTGATGTTTAGGGCGATTAGGAGGTATGTCGAATAGACTATAGTCTTTTCGGTTACGTAATAGGCGGGAGTACTAAGAGTATAATTATAGTAGACGCTTACAGAATCTACACTATATAAAATACGGTAGTAGTGTTGCCCTGACGGTCTAACACAGTTATAATTATACATAATTGCCTTAATCAATTTTAACCTATTTTGTGATGATTTTGACTACGCTTTATCCGATAGCCTTTTCCTCGCGGTACACGCGGCGATCTTATAGGTAGCGTGTACGCCTTTTTTTAGAGAGGTCGTTAATAGACGGAGGCGTCCTTATCGGTGGTTTTTTCGTTACGGCTATAGCCTTTTAGCGGGCGGCCGTCTTCTTCTTACCGGCGGCCGTAGCCGCCATAGTAGTAGCCGTAATAGCCGTGGTAGCCGTAATGGCAGTATCCTTAGCGTCCAGAGTCTTATCGCCCTCTAGTATAATAGTAGAAGACAGAGTAGCTGTGATAGTGGAGGATAAGATAGCCGTGGCCTCCTCCGTCGTGTTAGGGTTAACGATAAGTGCTTCGTATTTACGAATATTAGGTAGTATAGGCTTAAGCAGCAGGTAGGCGTTAGCCTCCTTATCGCTTAGCTTTAGATTAAGGTAGTTATCCTAATAGGAGGCAGATTTACTATATGTAGCATACTCCTACATTGTCTAACCCCTTTAGTTAATACGGGTAGTAGTGGCTACCTTTTATTCGGCGTTAGATACGTTAAAAGATATCTTTACTTACTTATCGGTTAGTTAATTAATTAATAGGTAGGTTAATTAATCGCTTAATTACTCTAATCAGGTTAATAGTAGTTGTTTAAGAGTGCTTATATAAATATAATTACTTTTTATAGTAGAATAGGGGTAGCCTCATTAATATCTATCGTTTAGGCGTTATAAACCTGGCTTATAACTATCGCACGTTAAAATAACACTTAGATAATTAACTTAGTAGAGTATAAATCTCGCGTATATATATTATATTAAGTTATATCTATATAAGTGTTTTATGCCCTTAGTTTAGGTGGTGAAGACTCTGTTATGGGTACTATATTATTTGGATCCTATCCGGTCTTTTCCGGTATCCTTCCTTGTTGTATCCTGATGCCCGAGGTCCCCGAGATCCGAAGCCCTTAGTTAGGTATGGATCCCCTAGGGACCACGTCGTGGTCCGTGTGCCCATGCGACATATGTTCGTCTGTAGTTTCAGTCAGCTAATACATCGCGTGAGTCGGCGACTCGTCAACCCATCGGCTGGGGGTACTGGTATTCCAACATCGACACACGGTACCTAATCCTGTTTGATCTCACCACGTCTTCAACTTGATTCCAACTCGCGGCCCTGCACTCACCAAAATGGCGTCCAGGGCCATGTGGGAAGTTGATCCCGAGACCCGGGCCAAGGTATGCTGTAGTGACAAATCTCCTGACGCCGTACTTTTTATCTAGGGAGATAAACATACTAATCAAATGCCCTCCTATTCCAGTTGTCCGCGATCCAAAAAGAAGCCAAGAATAATGTCTGCTGCGATTGCAACGCGCCGTCGCCCCAATGGGCTTCCCCGAAGTTTGGCATCTTCATCTGTCTCTCATGCGCCGGTGTACATCGGGGATTAGGTGTCCACATCTCCTTTGTCCGCAGCATTTCAATGGACGCCTTTAAGCAGATCGAGATCGAGCGTATGAGACTTGGTGGCAACGAAAATTGGAAAGAATTCTTTGAAAGCCACGAACACACCAAAATGGGAGGTATCACATGGGACAGTACCACAATTGCGGATCGATATAGTGGTGAAGTGGGAGAAGAATGGAAGGAGAGGTTGACGGCGAAGGTGGAGGGCAGGGAATACATCCCGGTTTCAAAGAAGACTACTCCCAAGCCCGCAACGGCAACGGAAGCCACCCGCTCTGGATCGCCCATCCACGGCAGCATCAATAACCGCTCGGCGGCTGGGGGAGAGAGAGTAAAAGTAGATGACGAGTACTTTTATACACTAGGAGCCAAGAATGCGAACCGACCGGACGGTTTGGCTCCTAGCCAAGGGGGGAAATATGGCGGTTTCGGGAACACCCCGACACCTCCAACGAGAGACGATGCCAGGGCACCCACTTACGACGAATTGCAGAAAGATCCCGTGGCAGCTTTGACTAAAGGCTTCGGATGGTTCGCATCCACGGTGACAAAGACCGCCAAGACCGTGAACGATGGTTATATTCAACCTACGGCGAAACAAGTAAGAAGCCATCTGCCCCCGTTGTTTCCAAGCATTCCAATCATTGCAAAAACCCATTGGAGGGTTAGGACTGACTCGACTGGCTAGCTTGCGGAGTCGGATTTCGCGAGGCAAGCACAGGCAGCAGCAGGTCAGGTTGGTCGCGCGGCGCAGCAACGCGCTCGCAGCGCGCAGAGCGGCCTGAACCGGTTTGTCGAAGGTCCACGAGACGACTACAGACAGGTGCCCATAGACGAGAGCAAAAGAGGGTTCTGGGACGAGTTTTCAAGTCTAGCAGGCGAACAACATCAGCAGCATAAGTCCCGACCATCCGGCAACAGTTCCATTGGCACTTCGGCCATGAAACCCTCTAGTAGTAGCACGGCTGCTCCGCCAGCAACAAAGAAGGACGAATGGGATGCCTGGTAATAAGAAGGGCAGAGTTGTATATTTTGTTATATATCCGGTCGCCGTATGTTTTATTTGACCCTTAGGCCCCGTTCGACAATTTCACCTAGTTGGTGAAATCTCACCACGATTTTTGTGAAAGTAATAACGCCCGCTAAGACGCTATTTTAACGCCGTCGCTTATCCTCGATATATCTTTTTATACAGATATAAGGGAGTTATATCGGGTAAATAATAAGCCGATCCGTATACGGGGTCGAGTCTTTCGTATATAAAAAGACACTACTTTTTACTAGTATAGAATATTAGGAAGACTACTATGTATATCGATATAGCGGCCCTAGGTTCTATTAGTATAGAGAATATTATAGAAGGGCTACTTAGTAATATACTTAACCCTTATACTAGGGATCTTAACGACTATAAGGCTACCTAAGAAAACTAAAACATCGAATAGTAACCCCTTATATAAGGAGGGATACTATTAATTTAAAGGCCTCTAGCGATAACGATATATCCGAAGACGAGATAACAAGTTAAAATCCTATTATAAAGGGGACCCTAGCGTTATAAGTTAGTACTCCTTTACCCGCTACAGCTAAATATAAACGGTTACGGGTAGTATAGCTAGATTATATCGAGCATCGACTCTTCGAGTTATTAGTTACTATATATTACAATAATCCCCTATTCGCTATAAGTAATAAGAGGTTGGCTAGATAATAAGTGCTAGCTAAGATCCTACCTAAGATATAAGAAGTATATCCTATAGCTAATCTATCGGTTAAGGCGATAATAATAAAACTCGATCGTGTAGAAAAAGAGCTAAGAGCTGCCTTAACGCTTATCGATAAGTCCGGTATTAATAACTATCATAATAAAAGCGGTATTATTAAAACGACTAATAAGTAGTAGGGTATATTTAAGGTACAACACGGCCATATCGGTAAGCGTATTCGGAACCGCGGAGGCGTATAATAGGTAGATAGCCTATTAAAGCTTATTTAGCCTTATACTATTATAACGGGTTCGAATATCGCCGATATATAAGAGCTAGATTAACGGAAGAGTTAGAAATCGGTATTAATACCGGCAGCTAAACGCACTATGTAGTAATAATAGAATCTTAATAATGGCAGCGTAATAGGCTCTCTTCTCCCTTATAACGATATTTTAGATAACGCTCCACGGCGCTACGATAAAAGGAAAAACACACCTACGGATCCACTAATAACAGGGTTGCTTATATTAGTTGCACGTTAAAACGCGCCTTCCTTTAAGGACGTCATTACTAATTATTAGCGTGATCTTGTCGATAAATTAGACGGCGTTAATAGGATTATTATAGTAGGAGAATTTATCACTTAAAATCATAACCTAGTAACGCTACTTAACGCGTTAAGAAAAGAGAAAAAGAGGGTGTTTTTAAAGAATTACGGCTTTATAAAAGTAGAGGTTATAAAAGTAGTAGAGGTTATTAAAGGAGGTGGTGATAGTGGTGAGGGCGGCAGGCGTAGCCTTATAGTGGATCTGGATTCCAATTATGCGTTATTTCCTGTACGTTTTAATTAGCTAGGAGCATTTACGACCCACTTAAATAGGACTAGTACGGGGTATAGCTTTATCTTCTCTGTTACTCCTGCCTCTTAATATCTAATAGGCGTAGTACTTAATATACTACTTCATATATCGATATCTTTGCGATAATAATAACTACTGCTACTACTCTATTATCTTAGCTATCTAGTACCTTATTTGTAATCTACCCTTAATACCGATATTACAGTTAGCTAGCTCGGCGGCTAGCTATAATACCTACTCTTCCTCGTCTTTAGTAAATCGTCTATCTACCGTTATTATTACCGTTATACTATTACGTATAGCCCTGACGAAGTTCTAGATCCCCGTTACGGAAACTCTATATATCCGCGCTATACCCCTAAAAAAACTCGTGCCTTAGACTTCCTCCACTTATAGTAGCTCCTCGTTATCGTCTAGGAAACTCTAGTTCTCCTCGTTATAGCCGAGGATAGATTTAACGTCCCTAAAGCCTAATTCCACTATATACCTATCGATCTTATCGCGGTTAATATCGTATAATAAGAGGAGACCTTTACTATTTAGCTTATCGTGATATAGGGCAAGGACGCTTATATAGATTATTAGGTCCTACGTATATATCTAGTATAAAGTAAAGTACTCGACTATAATCGTGTATTTATTAGGGTTTATAATACCGTTAGGGTTAAGCCTAGTAATCTAGGTATAGTCTTCTATACGCTAAACACCGAGCAGGAAAAGCAGGCTAATAGCGTTCTAGGTTTGATTAGAGATAACCTAATTAGCGATAAACTTCCTTACCTACGCTGCGACCAGGACCGGCAGGATAATACCCTAGCCGCGGCTAAAGGAATATAGCTAACCTCTACTTATCGTGTATAAACTCCTCTAATACGAATACGGTGCCGGAGTTAAATAGTTATTTAGCTAGATACTTATACTCTATTATCTAAATTATTTCCTCGCCCGGTTACGCTATAAAGCGCTTAGGGAGGGGGGAGCTAGTATATCCTTAGTAACGACGTTTAATAATAGTAAAGGGCATAGCGGAGATATTCTAGGAGGCTATAGTCTAATTAAGCGCGGTCGTTCCGCCTATACGAAGCTAGACGAGAATATCTATAACATGCTAGATAGTAGGGGTTAGCTTTTACGCGGGCGTTTAGAGGAATTACGCCACGGATATAACCCGCGGCTTAATAAAACTATTATAATTATTAGTACGCGCGAGAAATATAGCCTTGTCTACTTTACTCTTATAGTAGGCTGTTATAACGCCCGCTAGGCTAAGGGCTAGGTAGGCTAACTCGTTTATTTCCTATAATATATATACGGGGACTATTCTATTAGTTATAGGAATAAGGCTAGGTATAGTAAGAGTAATAACGTTTATAGCGCTCGCGCCCGAACGTATAGGGAAAGTAATAGGGGCGCCGGTAGTGCGTTAGTTCTACGGAGTAGCCGGGTTACTAAGGCGCGATACGGATAACGGATTAGGGAGGAAACGTCTATCTAGCCCCTACGGGACGTTATACCGCGGTATACTTCGAAGGTACTACTTAAAGATTTACTTAGGTCTAGTCTAGCTTTATACGTTATAATTATAGTCGAGTAAAAACTATAGCTAGGGGTAGATTAGGGCTAAAGTTTTAGCGTTATCTATTTTAATAACTTTATTCGCCTCGAAAATAGGCGCGAATACCGTATAACGGAGTATACTATTAAGGGGGTTATCGTAACCTAATACCGTGGCGCGATTACGGTAATCTATAATACTTTCCTTATTCTCCTATCGCTAAGCTTAGAAGGCTATACCCGATAAGGAAAGCTTAGTAATACGTAAACTCTTATCACTAAACAGGGTAATAACTCTAAAGTATCCTTCGAAGGGTAGCCCTTCGCCTACATATCCTCGGTAGAAATACTTAGAGAATTACTACTTAAATACTATATCCTTGAATCTATTAACGGTAGATAGGTACTCCACGACGTATTACTAAGCTATGAATAGTATTAGGTAGGTAGGCGTAGGAGAGGGGTATAAAAGAAGTATAGAAGGTATATACGTGATATAACGAAATTATAATAGAGATAGTTTAGTAGAGAGGTAAAACATAGCGCGAGATACTATAAGAGGAAATAAAGATATAAGTTCTAGTCGATATTAATAAATACTACCGCTATAATAGTAAATAATAGGGGAAGGTCGGCTAGAATATTAGATAAGAGAAGAATTTTATAATTAGTTAGGTAGGCGGCCTAATCTAACAGAGCGTCGCGGTTTATATTATTTTTATTATTCCGCTCTTCTTTCGTGTGCTTACTATTCGGAGATCGGATAATAGCCCTTATACCTTCCCTTACCCGAGTCTAAGGTTATTCGCTATATGTGAATAGCACGTAATTACCTCGGGTAACTCGGGTTCCTTATTCGATACCTAATAAGGCTATGAGGCTATACTAAAGCCTTTTAAAGGTGCTTTACCTTAAGTGTTCTTTAATCTATACGTTCCTTTAATGTTTCCTAGCTAAAGCACCCTCGGAACCTACGCTTTCTTTAAGGCTATCCTTAGACTAACTAAAGTCTTTTTATCTCTCCTTAAAGGCGCCGGTTAACTCTTTAAGCCACTATAGCTTCTTCCGGCATCTACGCTTAATTAACTCCTACGCTTCTATAGCCTTTTCTAGTATCTAAATATTCTAGTATTATCTAGGTATCGCCTAGAGTAACGGCCTTTGGCGCCCCGGCTATAATCGCGTAACGCTTTAATACCTATCCGTATTCTATAGATAGTCTATAAACTAATATCCCTAAGTATCTGCCCCGGGTGATATAAGCTTTACGTCCCGCGGGCGTCCTTTAGCGGCGATAGTATTCACGATAAAAAGGAAAGAAGGGAAAGGAAAGAAATACACCGCTAAGTAGCGATAGAAAGCGAATAGTATACGCTATAAGGAATAGAATAGAATAGAATAATAAACGCCTAAGGGAATAGAATAAAATAGAAAAAGAAAAAAAGGGAAAGAAAAGGAAATAAGAGGCGTATACATTATGAAACGATTGACATACGTTTAGGGGAGATAGTAGACCACGATATACGTCGCCGGCGTGCCTCTATACCACGTTATAAGGTATTAGTAATTAAACTACGGCTAAACGATGTTCCTTATCTATAAAACCTCTAGGTCTCGGTAAGGGATATACTAATAGAGATCTCTACCGTTTAGCCGTCCGGGGTACTACGGCCTTCCACGGCGTTATTCCGAAGTCCGAGATAGGGTCCCGGTCGGAAATAATAGATATAGCGGTGCTATAGCCCGTAGATAAGGGTAGCCTTAGTGAATTTATCGGTCACGATTAAAGGTAAGTCTGCTATAGAGAAGCCCTCCCTCTAGTAAAGAGGATAAGCCGAGGGTGCCTCGGGTAGCCCGATAATAAAGTCTATAGCTTATGCGGAGGCTAGGGTATACCCTCTTAGACTTAAGATTTATAGCCTTTCGCACGGATAGGTTCCACGCTTTTCCCCTTAGGGTTACTAAGCCGCTAGCCTTAGGTATTCTCGGTATATTTAGCCGTTTTTAGTTAACAAGCCTGTTAGTAGGAAAACGTTCTCCGCGAAACGCGGGTAAAGGGAAGATTACGGTAAGGGGAGGTCGGCTCCCCTTATACTCCGCGGGAAGAGGGGGAAAAAAAAGAAGGGGGGGGGGAATTATATCGCATAGGCACACAGACCACAACGTGGTCTATAGGGGATCCAGGGGGGATCCACGCTATAACTAAGGGCTTCGGATATCGGGGACCTCGGGTATTAGGATATAATAGGGGCGGATACCGGAAAAGACCGAATAGGACCTAAATAATATAGTACCCATAACAGAGTCTTCACCACCTAAAATTAAGGGTATAAGAGACTCACACATATATAACTTAATATAATACACACACACGAGATTTCTGCTCTACTAAGTTAATTATCCAAGTGCTATTTGACGTGCGACAAATTATCGAGTAGCTTAGCACTATGGTAAAGGTAGTGTGTAGGATAGGATATTCGCTATCCTACGCCCTTCAGCGATTATTAGGAAGGTTATCGCTATAATTATTAGGAAAATTAGCGTTAGAGCTAGGCATCCGTGGTAGATACTAATATAGGTTAGTATAGGCGCTATTCCTACGCTTAACTAGTAACCGTAGATTCCTTAGTATACTCCACGCCTAGACCTAGTAAAAGGGAGGCGATAAGGGGGGGAGGGAGATTATCGAGTAGCTCGGTGCCACAGTAAAAGAAAAAGGGGGCGTTATCGAAAGGTATTAGAGCTCGGAATCGATCCACGGTAAGTGCTGGTATATAGGTTAGTATAGTCGCTATCCTACGCCTTAGCTAGTAACCGTGGATTCCTGGTGCTCCACGCCTAGACCTATTAAAGGGGAGGCGATTATTAGGAAGGTTATCGCGGTGTCGGAGCTCGGGTTCTATAGTGGGTGCTAGTGCAGGTTAGTATAGTCGCTATTCCTGCGCTTAACTCGCGACCGTGGGTTCCTTTATCGCTCCACGTCTAAACCCATTAAGGGGAGGCGTCTTCGCCTAGTATGCTAGCGGTTGCCTAGTTCCGCCGGTTATGTCTATTTAGTCTTAGTATACATAGTCCGCGCCAGGCGGCGGTACACGAACCTTACCTAAAAGCTTAGTTACTACTATTTAATATGCCCTATCCAGGTAAATCCCCTGGCCAGCCAGTACTATAGGACCTAGAGAACCCAGGATTTAAGGGTTGACCTTTACTATAGTAAAAGAGGTATAATAAAGATATCTTCACTAAGCTAAGGGGCGAAGGGCGCCGGGGATATATATTCTTAGCGGGCCCGGGGGGCCGGACTATCGATCTTCCGGTTCCTATACGGACGTATAGATCCGGCCCAAACAAGCGGATAGCTCAGGGCCATATATTCGTATAGGGTCCGTGCCGCGTAATCTTTACGCGCGTATGGTGCCTGCCTATCGTGGTCGTATCAACGGCTATACCTAATAATCCCTATATTATAATCCGTAATAGTTTAATCCGATTCTTCTACGTTAACGATATCGGACTTATCTATTATAGAGATTATAAGACTAACGCTAACGACCTCGAGGCTACCCTTAAACGAAGGTATAGGTTATTAGGAGGCAATAAAATCCGTTAGTTCCTAGAAATTAAGGTTCTAAAGCATAAAGCTATATATAGGTTATAGCTATTATAATCCTCTGATATAAAGAAGATAACGGTTAAATACTAAGTAGATATCCTCTGCCGAAAACTACTGAAGGTCCTATTATTAACTATGGAGCCGTTAATACTACGCGATAGTATATACCCGTTAATTCCCGAGGTCCGCTAGTATTAGGGTATAATAGGCTTAATTCTATATCCCGCTATTATAATAAGACCCGATATCATGTTCGCCTATTCGAAGCTTTCCTAATATAATATTAACCCCTCCTCTAACCACTTAGAAGGGCTTAATAAGTGCTACTATTCTTATATTATATATAGCACTATTACCTAAAATTTAGGAGGGATAGACTCTTCCTAACCGTAAGCGACACGTCCTTTAGGAATAATCCAGACCGTAAGAGGTTCTAAGCCTATGCGACACTTCCGTACTCTTCGTTCTCCAACGAGTGCAGGCCAAGGGGTATCCAGCTCGGAAAGGAACACGTCAGTCCCTTTGATACACTATCGCAGCATCTTGCCCGTCATGGCTACAACTAATATGCACAACCTGACAACCTTAATCAAGAGGTCCGCCTAACCCAGCGTTCCCGTATCCAAGCCGAGATGACTGACGAACATTCTCAACCTCAGACTCGAGGCTGCTACTGCGAGACTTGAAGATATCGCTTCGTCCACAATTGAGCTTCCCCAGGCGCCGCCGCTTGGCTCAGAGCTCACTTCGTCTCCCCCTGTGGCTTTCGACGCGCCGACACCTCCTCCTCCGCCCCAGCCAACGGCCAATGCGACATCCGCCCCTGTCTCGGACCCGTTGCCGGAATCAATTGAACAATTCGACGCCTTTATTAACGAGACCGTCGACGGATATGTCAAACTCAGCAAACATCTCGGCGGTTTGGTCGCAGAACAGGTCCGTTAGAATTTGACAACCCAATACCGTAAATGATCAGTACGTCCACATTACTTACGTGCTGTTCAGGCTTCCGAAGTTTTACGAGGCTTTCAGGCAGAGCGGGAGTTTCTGCTCCTCACCACCAAGGCTCGCAAGCCAGATCTTAATGGTGTCGAGATGAATGTTTACCAAGATATCCTTAAGCCCATCAACGAAGCACTCGTTTCTGTGACCAACATTAAGGAGGCCAACAGAGGCTCTCCCGTCTTCGCGCAGCTGTGCGCAGTCGCCGAAGGCATCATGGTTCTGGCTTGGGTGACTGTTGATAACCGACCCTGGAAGCATGTCGAAGAGTCCCTTGCCTCGGCACAATTCTTTGGGAACAGAGTACTGAAGGAGCAGAAGGACAAGTTCGTACCCGCCCCGTCAACTTGAAAAAGGACCTGTCGGGCTAATTCTGAAATAGGGATCCGCAACAAGCTGAATGGGTCAACGCATTCTATCAAGTCTTCCGACGACTCGCAGACTATGTCAAGCAACATTTCCACAACGGGATTCCTTGGAACCCTAAAGGCAGGCCAGCGGGGGAAGTTATGAAGTCTCTATCTGAGACGACTGAAGTCGCTCCATCGGCCCACACGTCGCAACCTGGAGGGCTGCCTCCCCCACCACCTCCGCCTGGACCAGCTCCTGTTCTCGATATTCAAGACGAGGCGACCGCATCCAGTAGACCAAAGGCAGGCTTAGACGCTGTCTTCTCCGAGCTCAACAAGGGCGACCAGGTAACCAAAGGCCTCCGCAAGGTGGACAAATCGGAAATGACACACAAAAACCCTTCTTTGCGTGCCGGGTCAACCGTGGGAGGACACGACGCTCCTAGAGGAAAGAGCCCCGCCCCCGGCAAGAAGCCGAAGCCGGAGAGCATGCGAGTGAAGAAACCCGCGAAGAAGGAGCTCGATGGCAACAAATGGATCATTGTAGGCGAATCCAGAATGACCAGCTCATATGGATGTCTCGTACACTATTTTGCTAACATCCGTGTCAGGAGAATTATGACAGAGAACCGCAGCCCATGGAAATTGAGGCGGCAATTTCGCACTCGATACTCATCAGCAGATGCAACAACACAACCATCATCGTGAAGGGCAAGGCCAACGCTGTCACCATCGAGAACTCCAACCGCCTGTCCCTCATCGTGGACACGCTGGTGTCAACCGTAGACGTTATCAAGTCTCAAAATTTCGCCCTGCAAATACTGGGAACCGTTCCCACTGTCATGATGGATCAAGTCGATGGCGGGCAAATCTACTTGAGCAATGAAAGCAGTTCGACAAAGATCTTCACCAGCAAATCATCAGGAATCAATCTCAATGTCGCTGAGGGACCCGAACATGATTATGTGGAGTTGCCCTTACCTTACCAAATCTGCTCGTTCTACGATCCAGCCAAGAAGGATGTCGTCCACGAGATTGTCTGTCATGCCGGATGATTGCATTGTTTGTTGGAGCGTAGAGTTGTTCGGAGAGGATCCGTTTCTAGGACCCGAAACATGTGCCTACTTCCTTCCTCAGCTCTCACTGCAAAATAAACAGTTTTGTATAGTTGAGTTACCTCAGCCCTGTTTTTTTAAGTTTTACTTTTCTATTTTCCCCCTTTACTTTCGATTTCTTTTTTGTTGCCCTGCCGGAAAATCGGAAGATGATATATGGCATATATCACATGTGCTTATAGATCCTCGAACAAAATCTAGAATCTGGAGGTGGAGTGAGGGGCCATTAACACACCACGCAACGCAAGGAGATATAGTGCCCAAGAGTTCCACCCCAATATCAATTCTAATAGATCATCTACACTACTTGCCAATGTAACATACAAAGTCTTCTCTATCATGGTGCCATGTGAGGCTTGGCTAATATACCCCTACCCCACGCCATCGACCGCTGTTCCATTCAAGGTTTTCGCATGCATGCTTAAAGCTTGGCTTTTGGTGCTTCAATGGTGGGCAACAGAAGGTCACGAATGTCCCCAGCTGCCTCACTGAGGTAGAAGCTCATCCTCTGGCTGCCCAACCCCTTGGAGACAATATTGAAATTCAGGCTGTGATTGTGTTAGTTTACGGACACGAAGAAGTGCCAAAAGAGAGTAGTCCTTGGAATGGAACTGACCTGTTCTCATTGATCATGTAAGCGATGCCGAAGCCATCGTCGACGACTTGGCTCCAGCCATAGCCATTGAAAAATTCGGAGCTCAGCTGTGACGTGGAAAGATACCAAGTTGAAGAGTACGCGTAAGCAGGGTCCTTGTAGATCGCGGGAAGCTCTTCACCAGCCTGCAGTAGCTTCTTGAGTCCGAAAAGGTGTCTATCGACACCCTTCCCATCGGATGCAGCAGAGATATACTCCAGGTGCGAGTCAATGGCTTTGCGGAAAAGTTCGGCACGCGTCTTATCGTCCACGTCCGGGTTGGCCATGGCGTTGCACCAGGCCACTGAGGCCTCAGACACGGTTCTGCACGTCTCAGTCCGTCCTTGTTGGAAGCGTCGAGTGGCGGCGGATTCGTAGGTGGGGCGGTTCTTGCCGTACATCTTATGGTACGCAAGCTGAATGATCATTTGGACGTAGGCATCGGGAGAACACTTAAATTTCTTGATGAGACCTTTGCCGTAACCCTGGTAGGCTTGGATGGCGAGTTCATGCTGTCCGATGACCTCGTTGAAATCCTTAACGGCACGGTCAATCTCCGCTTGGACTTCTTTGGTGATTTCGAACCGAATCGCCTGCGGTTCGGGCAGATTGGAGCGAACAGACGCATCCGAGAGGTCAATCTTGTTGTTGAAGATGGCGTCGTTGATGTAGTCATTGAGGCGGTGTGTTGGTGTGCCGTCCATCATGGAATGTTCACCCATGAACCCCGACGTGCCGTTGTCGTTGACGATGAGCTGCAGAGGCTTGTCAAACCATCTATTTTGCCCGTCGCCGTGCCAATACTGATGCGCGCGTTCCTCGAGCGTCACAGGTGAGGCATCGTCCAGGCAGACAACGAAGGAGGCCGACTCGATCGCTTCTAGAGCCGCGGCGTTCCTTGTGTGAGCACTGAGCAGGACTTGCCGGGCATCGGCCCACACATCGCGATTCTCAGAAGTCAGCGCGCCTACAGCAGGGACGCGCGCAGCAGCCTGGTAGACCTTTTTGAATTGTTGCTCGAGTTCGCTAGCATTCAGCTGTCGCCCGTCAACTTCGTGGAGGATCTTGAAAAACTGGTTCTTGCGGATGGCGACGATATGCTTGTATTCTTCCGGGGAAAATTTCACCGGATAGTCCGCAGGCTTTGCGGCTACTCGACTCGCATTGAACATCCACCGATAGCTGTCCATGCAAATTGGCAGTTTCTTCATGTACTCGGGCTCCAGGGTGCCACTGTCCACCTGTTTCTTGAATTGGAGGGCAGCTGACGTGATAGCAGCAGCCCTCTTCGCCGGGTCTTTCCTCCGTCGGTCATCGCGATGAGAGTAGAAGTAACTGACGTAGGGAACGACGGGATCACGGTAGCTGAGGTACGCGGCATCATTCCACCATTCGTAGAGCCAGTTCTTGTGGTGAGGATCTGCCCGCCGTGCAAGCAACCTCTCTTGGAGTTTGGGGCCCGCACCACCGGGTTTAAGAAAATCGTCGAGGGCCTGTTTGCTGGCGGCGAGCTCTGACTCGGAAAGGAGAGGGCGGAGAGTTTTGATATAACGTGAAGCTGTTTCTTCCAGGGTCGGGACAGGCAAGCGGGGAAGTGAGTCCTGGAATCTCAGCATCGGGCCTTTGGATTTATCCTCGACATAACCTGTGGCTGCTGTCAGCAAAGCGCCCATCATATGGGGTCCAAGAGGGTGATTATGGAGGGCTCGCGAAGAGGGAACCTGTCTTGATACCTACCCGGTGGGAGCGAGCTACTGAGCCTCTTGCTTGCCTGAGCCATGGCTAATGTGTTTACCTCGAGCAGGTCAGCATGACAAATGTACCTCAGGATAGACGTATGGACGCATGGGGGACAGAAGGAGAGAAAAGAACCGATACGCACGGAGATAGATGCTTACTGTATAAAGCGATTTGGGAATACTCGAAACTCTGCGCGTGGCAAACTTGGCCCCGAGAGCTTGCAGTGCAGACGACATGACAGATTCTTAGAATCAGTCAAAAGATGGCGCACCTCACGAAAGGCAAGGTCGATGAGTTCGTGAACGGACGTGGGTAGAGTCGGGTGGATGGAGTGGCGGAGAGCTCCTAAAGTATGGAGTAGGTATGGGTATGATTGCCGTGAACCGTGGGAGCCGATGAGCCTAGGCAACGCCCACTTAATGACCTCCTGTGAGGTACTATGTACTAATATTATTGGACGCCCAGTGCCAGAAGCTGAAGGAGATGCTGGCTAAGGTAGGTGGGTCAAATGACCATCTGAACCGCTCCCTCCGGAATGCGTCGAACTTGGATCCATGAAATATTAGGTGCAGGTACAGAGAGAACCGAAGAGTGGAGCTATATGCGCAATACCCACTTGGGCTGCACCCGCAGGTCATTTGTCGAGCCGAGGTTACGTCGGATCTTGCGGAACTGCACTTAACCTCGGAGGGGCCTGTTGCGTTAATCGCTATCCGTCGTCGCTCGAGGAGCCGGCGCTAGAATACCCTTCCAGGAAAATCACATGCCGCCTTCCGCTGCTACCCCCCACTTAGTTGGATATCAGGTCACATGACCTACCTAGGGCGGGGTCTGTAGAGTAAGCAAGGACTGTAAACGTACAACGCATAACTATTGTCAGAACACAAATAAGGTACGCGGAATTATATATATATTTATCTAAGTGAAGTTTATAATACTTTATGGGGATATCTAACTATACGGAAAAAGCAGGGGAAATAAGGGTGGATATATAGGATCGAGGTACTCTATATATCTAATATAATATAGTTTATCATACCCCGATAAGGTGGCTATAGTATCTAACATATACCCCGAGAACTATAGGATAATCCTAACTATTCTATTCGTTAAACTAATACTTAAAATCTAGGGTAAATCGGGCCTAGATATTAATTAATAGCGTTATAGGCGTTAAAGCCAAAAAGCAGTTAAAAAGTATTAAAAACAGTACCGAAATAATTGTCTATAAGGTTATAAAAACACTTAAAATAATAGTCTAATTAACCGTTTTCCTTTAATTAAAACGTAATAGAAGGATATTATCCCTGTTAATTACTTTAATCCTATTTAGCCGGGACCTCTATACTAAGAAGATATATAAGCGCCCTATATTTCTACGGGGATAAGACCTTTATAAGGCTATCGCTAACTATCTTATTAGTAGCGATTAAATTAATTAAGATAGTCCCTTTTTAAACGGTTGATCGGATCTAAAGGGCGTGGATATTAAAATACTTTAGTTTCGAGGTAACCTAAGGCTTAGGAGATTCTAGTAGTTACTTAGTTTATCAATTATTATAGTATACTATTAGTGGTTCCTCCTTAAAGGTTAATATTAGGTCCTCTATAAAACGCCTTATCACGATATACTACCTAGTAGTAGCAGAAAGGGCTATAAGGTCGGCTTTAGTACAAGAGGTTATAACGCTTATTTACTTATTAGCCTTCCAGTCTAGAGGACCCCCGAATAGGAGGGTCGTGTAGCCTTACGAGCTATACCTAGCCTTATAATCGTCCGCAGAAGGCGGCGTTAAAGGTATAGAAGAGTATAGGCTTTTAGTAGCCTTTATATAGTCCGGAGTAGAGGCATAGGGTCTTTATCGAGCCGAGATACTTTAGGCACCTATCGGTAGCTGTATAATACTATTTTCAAAGGGATAGTACTAAATTCGGTAAGCCTTAAGACGGCTTTAGAGATATAAGTCCGGGTCTAGTAGGCGGCGTAATTAAGAACCGACCTTCCGAAGATATAGATAGATTAACTCTACGGAGGCTTATTAGTCGGTAGCAGATAATTCTAAAATATTAGGATAAGGAAAAGGGATTTTAACCCTACGACCTTTATAATCCACTTATAATGCCTTTATCGTATCGGTGATATAGTTATTAAGCGATACCTATAGCTTATATTATTAACGATCGCGTCCTACGCGGATTCTAACCACTTAAGTAGTCCTATATCCCTGATTTAGAGGCTCTTCTATATCTACTATACTAGGTTATTTATAACAGATTAATATTCCTTACGGTAGATTAGGATAATATCGTTAACGTAGAAGAAAGTAATTAGGACCTTGTTTTTAAAAACGTAATCGGCTTCGGTCAATTACTTTAAACTATACTTACTTAGTACGGAAGAGAGCTATTAGTGCTATAGCTTTAGGGAACGCCGTAGGCTATATAACGCCTAGCGTAGCCGTTAAATCCCTCTACGTTATATAGTAGGGCGTTATTTTAAAAGGTCCTCGAGTTAATTATAGGCTTTAAGGCCCGTAGCTAACTGGAGTAACTACTAACTAAGGGGGTCCTTAATATGGATCTCTTCGTTAGGTAGGGTATTGATGAATACGTTAACGGCGTTAAGTTACCAAGTCTTAAGATCGAAATAGGCTATAATACCTATTAGGGACCTAAAGGTCCTTCTAGCGAGGGTAAAGGCGTAGGCGTTAAGGTAGTTATTTAGTTACTAATCCCCTAGAACGTATAGGCGTACCCTTAAACTTATTAACGTAACTAGTAGGATCGACCTTATATTTAAAAACCTATTTAAGGTCTAGTAGCCTTAGAACTAACTTAGGTAGTCCCGAGCCGTGCCCCTACTAGTAGGACTATTCCCACCATTTAAAGGTGCCTATTAACCTAAGTGTGCCGACCTCCTATAAGGCGGCCTTAATCTATTCTAATTTATAGGGACTCTTTAGTATTTATAACTAGTTTAGAGGTTCCTTAAGTATATCGCGGCGTAGCAGCGGCTTCTTCGGTATCTTAATCTAGTTATAGAAGGTATAAAAGGAAGGAGGGGTATAACGGTCGGTTAGACGCCTACTACGCGTAGGCCTTTCGGAAGTGGCCGTTAGAATAGCAGGAGGGCGGCTTTTTCTATGTATAGAAGCAGGTTAGTTAACTATAATAGTAGAATAAGAGGTTTAAAAAGACTTAGCTATAGTAGGTAACTCTACCGTAGCAGGAGCCGTAAATACCGGATTAACGGCGGTAGTAGTGGTTAATTTCTTGTTAAGAACCGATTAGTTAGGGGATAATAATCCTATCTTAACGGCTTAGCCTATTACGGCCGTATTATCGTTAGATTAATCTTTAGTATTGTTAAATCGTTTAAAAATAGGCGGCAGATCCGTAGTTCCAGTTAGTGGTATAGGAGGGCTGTTTATTATTATTATAGGAGGGAAAATAGGTGCTATTAAAGGTATAATTATAGGTGTAATTATAGAAGACGTTATTATTAAGGTAGGTGCCGCCGGAGGCGTGGAAGACGTTATAGGGCTTATTTTCCTTATTCCACGTGTCTCCTATACCTCCTAATCAGGTTAATCTTCCTGCTATTATTATTCTTCTACAGATTTTATAGTGGTTAGTAAACCTAAACCTCTATCCACCCCCCTAGAAGTAATAGCGGTAATAGCGGCGATAGCCATAGTAGCCGTAGCAGTAATAGCCTCCGCTATTACCTCCCTCGTAGTATTCTACTCTAGTAGCGTTGAAGGGTAAAAATCAACCACGTTAATAGTAATACCCAGAGAATCGTAGAGTTAATAATATATAAGTAGATTGAGCTACTCGAAAACCTTAATTAACATCTTAGGTTTATAGTTATAATCTTTATATAGCAGTTTTTCGTTAAAGGTAACGTCTCTTATATATAGGATCCTCCCTAATTTTAGCACCTAAATCCGATATATATTAGTGCTCTCGTAGCCGATTAAATAGCCGATATATACTCTCTCTGTGAGCTTAGCATTACGGTTATAACCTTATTAATAGTCGGCGGTTGGTGGATATACCCAATAACTATACCTCTTTAAGTGGCTAATAATACGCTTCGTCAGGATCTTGTTTAGGCCTTATTTATTAATCTAATCCTCTATCTGCCCTTAAGGGGTCTTCTACTAGGGGTCCTTCCGAGGGATAAGGTTATATAGATATACTATAGTAGCAACCAGTTCTGGCTATATATCCTATTAAATACCTAAGGCTATTACGAGGGTCCTCGCGATAGTAAAAATAACACCGCTATAGCGTTCTGCCTTCGGATTCTACGCGGCTATATATAGCGATAACCTCTTAAGTAAAATCCCTCTCTTATCGGCCTATTTATCGAAGCCTTTCTAAAGGGATCTTTCTGTATCCAGGAGGATTACTATAATTATATAATAGTACTACCTCGAAAGGAAGAACTCAAAATTCAATAATATAGGTGAGGCTAATTTATAGTCGCGCAGGAACCTCGTGATAGCTTAACGAGTACAGGGATCGTATAAAAGTATCACGACCTTTATACTATTATAGGCCTTATTAAGGCTAAAAAGGTTAACCTCTACCCTATACCGTAGTATCGTCGTTTAGTACTTAGGCGACTATCTAGAAATAATTTTCTTCGCCGTACTAAGGGCATAGGCCTTATATTCCACTATAAGAGGACCTTTTCCTTTAATAACGCCTCTAATAAGGGTATCCCTGATTTTATTAAAGGTAGCGGCGCTAACGTGCCCTAGTATCTTATACTATGAATAAGCGTTAGCCATGCTTATAGTAGGCGTCGTGGAGCTATTAAAGAAGCTGCTTAGTAAGTGCGATTAATGATCCGTTAGTATAAGAGCGTATTAATCGTTAACATTATTCAGAGGTAGGGCTACTAAGCCCTCCACCTTTAGCACTTCGAGGCCGGAATCAGAAACGATACCCTATTCCTTTAATCTTCTGGTTACGATTAAGGTTATTAGGTAGTCTTATATAAAAGCAACGCGATTTAGTACTAAAACGAAGGGATTACTATATTCGTTATCTACTTCTGATTATATCCTGCTATACCCCTTAACTAGCTTAGTCTCTCCACTACCCGATTAAAAATAACGATCTTTAATAGTAGGTTTAAAATCCTATAGTAGGTGCCGTTAGTTAGTGATATATCTTAAGGTGCCAGAGTCGATTAGTAGTTAATTAAAGAGGTTATTACTAACGCTACCGTTTAGCTATTGAATGGAATATATCCTATAGGACTCCTTATCGGAATCCTTGTCCTGGTTATCTACGAAATTAGATACCTCCTTTAACGATTCTTTCGGCTATAACTTATAAGAGTCCTTTTTAGCACCCGTTTTCAGGCTTTTAGCGTTCTTTTCGATATTCTCCCGGAATCACTTTTACCGTTCGTTATCCTAGGTCTTAATAATCCGGTTATAGCATTCCAAGATCTCTTTTAGGGGTATATATCCCTTCCTTCTAGCCTCGTTAACGTTAGGGTATTT